ACAAATGGATTAAGTAGATTAAGATACTTCATGAATCAGTATGTTAACGATGAATTTAACTCTGAAGCACAATTATTTCAGGAGACAAAGTCCTCTAATTTTATACAGAACATCTCAAAACCATGAAGGATGTGATTTCAGTTAAGGTGACGTTGTCTTTTACTCCACAGAATATAAGTTCCTAAAATGCAGTTCACTGTGCACATGTATGGGTTTTACAAATTACCTCCAGATAATGTTTCCAATCTATAATCAATGAAAATTAGTATTGAGTACAAAAGAAAACATAAAATCACTATAGTAGCTTCTAACATATGACAGAGTCAATTCTTCAAAAGTGTTACCTTTTTATTTCAAAATTATCTGCATAGATCTGTTAGCTAATCATTATTTCAAAAATGTTTTTAATATGCTGTTAGTACTGACTCCTAGACATCCTGTGGTAGAGAAGCCTTTTAAGTATGTTATCCTAGAATTTCTCAAGGTCAACTATTAAAGCATGTTTTAAAAAACTATCAGCAACAATTTTCGGGAACTAATGGCTTCGGGGACTGTCTGGAAAAAAGTAATATGAGTAATATTGTCTTTTACTTTTCCCCCGGGGTAAGAGTCAGGATTTACAGCGTCGCACCCATTGCAATGGACATTTACATGGGATGAGCTCCAGTTATAGCCAATGGAGGCTTTGAGGTTGGCTTATACCATTGGGCTGCAACACAAGGGCAGAGGGGGAGGTCTGAGGTGTAGGATCCAATACCTTCAACTTCATTTTAACCATTAGAGCTCAGTGCTATCTGACACAGATAAAACTAACCCTTCTTCATTTTTTTTTTATTTTTACAAAATTTCATGGTTAAAAAGAAAAGTTTGAAAGTTGTCCTTCTAAATTACCAAGGGGAAGCAAAAATTAATTCCATTAATGCCCTGTCATTCAGTCTTGCCTCCATCCAATCAATGCCATCTGGATTCCTCCGCTAAAATGAGCTTTCCATAGTTATAATCGGATTTTGGTGAAACATCTTGGACCCTCATCAGGGGACCCGGTTTTCACCTCTAGCATTTTCTCCATTTCCTTCCTTGTAACTTATCTTTCATGATATTGAATATCTCTTCTGTGCATACACTGATCATTTTCACCCTCAACTTGTTACAGCGTGTTTGACCTTGTTTACCATGCATGCTGTTTTCTCTGGAACGTCATAGGGTGGGGGATGCCCAGAGGAGGATAGATTTTGAGAATTTGGAATCTCGGATTGCCCAGGTTTTCTCCATCTCAGTCATCCACTGTTCTACTGGGTTTGTGCTGCCAAAAACACTTCTGATCATTTCCTTCCTGTGTCTCAAACCCTTCAAAGGTCCTTCTGTTGTTACAATCAGATGTCAATTCTTTACTACGATGCCTTTCATAATCTGGTTCTTGGCTACCTGAAACTTGATCTCTCGTCTCGTCTGACCTCAAATTCAATGTTCTTCTTACAGATTTGTCTGGATGATTTTACCCTTGGTGTCTCCATATCTAGAAAGCTTTCCTAGAGCACCCAAGACTGATATTTACATCCTCCTGTTATCTTTCAATAGACAGTTAGTATCCAGTTAACCACTTAATGTTACTACTAAGGGCTCTGTTTATATAGGAAATTCATTAATGGATACAAATGATTAATGCATATGTGCATGTTTAAAGGGATATAATGGCAACAAATCTATACTTTTAGCTATGGGAACCATATTAGTATTGCAACATCATATTTTGACATAGTAGTGAGAAAACCTTGTCTAACACTGAAAAGGCTACATTTTAATAAGGAGGAAGATTACAGAAAACAACCTGAGCTGTTATATGGCAATAAGTTTCTAAGAGGGACTCTCCCCAGCAACACTAAGGGAAACAAAAGAATGTATAACCTCCTACCATGTTGCCAATGTAAACGGAAGTGTGGGGAGTACTATACTATTCAGTGTGTTTTGTACTGTCCGGAAACTCCAGGGAGAAGGTTTTCCCCAGGGACATTCATGCCCAAGGGATAAGCAGTGAGAATGAGCTTGACATGCCCAGACCTCACTGCTTCCAAACCCGTAGCAGTCTAGGGTAGACGAAGGTCACGGTGACTCTATTCTCTTACTACGAGAATCTCTGATCCAGTCTTCTAACGAATTTTTTCAATGTTGTTTATTTTATTTTAAAAAAATGTCTTGTAAGATATGATAAATATGGTTGCTTTTTTATGTATTAATGCAGCAAATCTCCCCTTTGCCCCTGTACTAACAGTGTGGAATTTGCTCCACACGGAGCTCAATTAACCGCTTAGAACACCGTCCTTCCCTTTCCTGGTATCTGTGCTTTATCATAAGACCTTTGGTTTGCTTCCACTGTCACTGCAAGGCTGAGCAAGATGTAGACAAAATGTGAACAGCTAGAGGGTATCAGTAGTATTGTTGTCATGGCCTTCTCGAACCCAAACATTTAAAAAATCTGCTGGACATATGTTCTTAAGGATTTTTTCCATAGGCATATCAAGTAGAGAAAATAACTTAACATCATTTAATTATTTTAACAAACCACTGGAACAAACACGTTTTAATGAAGATGTAACAATTATCCTTCTTTTTTTTTCTTTTTGTATTTAAAAATAACTTTGGGGCTCATTCCATGGAGGGAGGTCACCTTCCTGCAGTAAGGACAGCCCAGTGCTTTGTCAGGACTCTCCTGGCTTATGTCTGCTGTCCTGATATAATTATGAATAGCTCCCTATTGCTGTGCAAGTGTCACAGTTTCTGCAATGAATACTCTGCTCATCATAAGCAGACAGACTCTTTCCCTCCCTCCCAATTCTCAGATGGCCTTGAGGTTCAGAACTTCTGGTAACAGTCAGAAAATGGAAAGAGGGTGATTACTACTCCCCAAAGCCTTTGGTTTTTCCTGCATCAAGCTTGCACTGAGTAAAATCTCATTCTTACTAGATGGTGTGCCCTAGATGGCATCATGACAATTTGCTTATGGTCTCGACTCTTCATTCCTTCCCATGTGGGAATACCTTGACACGTGTAGAAACACATGGATTTTCTCCCTTACCACACCAAGAGACCCTTAGTGGACCTCGACGTGGATTTGGATTATACTAGCCTTAAAGAAAAAAGTCAAAACAGATTCAGGTTTTCAGATATGTGTTCAGATGGATTTGATTTCCTTCCCTCTCATTTACAAGGTGTGAGACTTTCATCTTCCTCATAAGAGTTTAGGGACAATTGTGGCTATAATATTTTCTTTGTAAAATCACACTTGAGCTTTTTTTGAACCTTAGTCATTTTTAAAGTTATTTATTACATTAGTTTAATACTTCTGAATTTGAGTAATAATTAATTCAGTAAATGTGTTAAATTAATTTAATACTCGGGAGCCTACCCCGAGTTGAAGATTTTATTCAAAAGAAAATCTTTAGTCACAGGAAAAGTTCATGGCAGCCTCATCTGGGAGCCATCAAAAGAGCCATGGCAGGGCGCCTGGGTGACTCAGTTGGTTGGGCGTCTGACTTGGCTCAGGTCATGACCTCACGGTTCGTGGGTTCGAGCCCCACGTCAGGCTCTGTGCTGACAGCTGGGAGCCCGGAGCCTGCTTCCGATTCTGTGTCTCCCTCTCTCCCTCCCCCTCCCCTGCTCATGCTCTGTCTCTGTCTCTCAAAAATAAGTAAATGTTAAAAAAAAAAAGTTAAAAAATAAAATAAAAAGAGCCACAGCACCTACAGTTCCATAATTAGAGAAGTAACCTTTCGGCATTAGGCAAAGGCAACGCCCGGACAGTGAAATCTGACCAGTGTTGGTGTACTACTTATTTTCACTCTGTCAAAAAAAAATTGGCCGTCCTTAAATAATGTGAGCTTTTGTGTGACAATCTAGATTGCTGGGTCCTGAAAAATCCTAAGAAGTCCATACACCCACCTGCACCATACTTGGCTTGGGCTACAGGGCTGCAGCCCGGACCCCCATCTTCCCCAAGGTCCAAATCCTCCCACTTTCCGAGTGCTGCCTTCCTCACATATGTACATCACTGTCTTGTTTTCTTTACATCTGTTTCTTGAAATTCTGTACACCCGTTAATTTTTAGGTAAAATACAAGTTTCCCAGGAACGGATTACTCATGAATCCTTAAAATTATCGGGAAGGAATATATCGGTTTACTTCTTAGGCCATACTTTGATAATGGAGGAAGTGGAGGGGACCTTAGAAATTGATGTGTCACGAGAGGGAAAAGATGTCCTCTGTGGGGAGGGGGGTTCCCCCTCCTGGGGACCACAGTCCTAGGGACTCTAGCACTGGGAAAAGATTAGTGGTGGGTAAGGGGTCAATTGTGTTTTAGGGGTGTTTTGATATGACTAACTGTGAAGGATGCCCTTCACCATTCAATACGCATCACCGTGTGGAAAAATTAAAGAAAGAAAGATCCTTTGTGGAAAAGGCACCCAATTAGACAATACAAGACCTTGCTAAGTCAAGACAGGGTGACAAGCATTTTCTCCCTGGCTAGAAACTCTAACCCCCCAAATTCCTCCACACTATGATTCTAACATGTTAGCTATAAAAGTAAACTAAAAAAAGGTTTTCCCCATTTGGATATTGGAGATGTTGATGTAGAAAAATAATAAAGAAACACTTTGTTTAAAAAAGCTGTGTTTGGGGGGAAAAATTTCCCCTCAAGGGCTATATCTTTAGTAAGAAGAATATATATAATATATACTATAAAATATGATGTATATATATTATACACGTATATCCACTTTATATGGTTATAATGTTTTATGGAAACATGTTTGTCTTATTAAATTCACACTTGTTTCTCTATAATCAGAATAAAGCATGATTTATCTTCTCTGAACAAAAATGAGGATCTTAAACAAGATTTGTGGTAATCAATTAAAATACTGACAGGAGTTGGAGGTCATTTCAATCATTCTTAAATTACAATGCCTGCAGCACATTTCTTGGAGCTGACTTGAGCACATTACCTTTGTTGCACCATCAAAGCAGATAAATCCTGTGCTAAAGTCGATCGTGAGTCCCATTAGATGACTTTCTAGCACACATGCATACGTCTTGCACTAGACAGAACAGAAAACACTGTTACTTTTCATGTGATTGACCCAGTACCATTATTAATAGCCAGCATTTATCAAAGACTCTTTGACAGCTCCTATAGTAAGTTGTTTATACAATAGCTAACATAGTATCAGCAATAACTGTACGAGGAGCATAGTATTATTGACATCTTAGTGTTAATAAAACTGAAGCCGAACAGCTTTTCACCTGCCAAGGGGTACGAGGGGCCGAGTTTCCAATCCTGTGCTATCTGAACACGCTTTTACCTAGGGCTGCACTGACACCCTTTGCCGTATCGGCAATAAAACCGGTATAAAAGTGTTTAGGTGTAGGCCAGATTACGTTACGTTGCTACATTCTAAAGCTAAACATCATTGCATTTTCATTAAGCCAAAAGTGAATTATTAAAGGTTAAGGTATTAATTCAATTGTTGGCCTACCAATTTCTTGGATATTATTAAAGCAGAACTCGCAGGCACATGAACACAGATTCAGGAACCCAGGCAAAACATGTAAGAACATCATTATCTTAAGAGTCTGTCATATAATGTTCATCCATGTGGTACAAGCTATTTCCCAAAGACATTCACCCCTTGTTTCTTATTTGTGTAAACCTCCTGATTCTTCCAAAATCACCAGGACTTTTTACACGAAGATGAGATTAAATTATAATGTTACTTATATAAATATTTTGGAAGATGAATAAAATAAAGATACTGAAATTTAACAGTAACAAATATGAAATGAAAACTTGGAACTTATGTGCCACAGGATGCATTTTTATGTCCAGAGGCCACCTTTATTTTCATTTAATTACAAACTGTACTGGGATGTTCAAATGAAGAAAACTACTCATAATTCACAAACAAGGAGGAAGAGAGAAAGGAAGAGAGAGACAGAAACCTATCTCAAGCAAATTTTCATACCAATATTTACATGATATTTGTTTTATAATACTGTATATAAAACTATATTAAATGAATCAGATTCTGACGATAAGATGGCTAAATGCATCAAGTTGACTTCACCAAAAATCTATATTCATAGCTTTAAGTCCAATTTGCATAGGAAAGCTACAACTATGCCAAATTATTCCTTCACAGTTGAATTTTTCAAAAACCAGCTCAGAAAACAAACTTAATGGGCCTTGTAAGTTCAGTTTTGGGTGTAATTTTGTTTAATGCATGGGCATCTTCCGTGCTTATATCCACCCATCACCACTTCTTTAAAACCACTATCAATATTAAGAAATGTTTGGGGCACCTGGGTGGCTCGGTTGGTTAAGCGTCCCACTTCAGGTCATGATCTCACGGTTCCTGAGTTCGAGCCCCACGTCGGGCTCTGTGGGGACAGCTCGGAGCCTGGAGCCTGCTTCAGATCTGTGTCTCCCTCTCTCTCTGCCCCTCCCTGCTCATGCTCTGTGTTTCTCTCTCTCTCTCTCTCTCTCTCAAAAATAAACATTTAAAAAATCTTTAAAAAGAAATGTTCAAGGCTATCTCATTCCCTCTAATTTAGACATAATTGTTCTCTATTTTCAGTTGCTATAAAAGAATATGTCAGGTGAAAACACCTTCAGTACAGAACATGAAAATTTATCTCATTAAGTTCAAAATTACGAATAGAACCAATTCATCAATAACCATTAATTTGAAACAGATATATAAATTGAGACTCGCTAAAGTTTAATTCTATAATTTATAATCTTTTAATAAATATATATAATGAATATAATTAATGTTTTAATAACATAACACTTGATTTACTGTTTAATTTCTATTTATTTTATAATGAAAATTGAATTATAGTTAGAAAAAAGTAGAAAATTATACTTTTCAGGGATAATTTGCAACATTTGAAAGATTTTTACACAATTATATAATATTACACAATATTTGAACATATATCACACATAAAATATTTTTTAATATGTCCTTTTGGATGACAGCTAAATGTCTATACCTGGATAAAACATGTAATAATAATTAAAGAAAATCAATTTTGTAAGTCACATGCTCTTTCATTAAAAGTTCCATTTTAAGGGCACCTGAGCATCTAACTCTTGATTTCAGCTCAGGTCATGATCTCAGGATCATGGGATAGAGCCCTATTTGGGGGCTAACAAAAGCTAACAAGGTGCTAATTTTTTTTTGAATGTTTATTCATTTTTGAGAGAGGAGAGAGGGAGAGAGTGGGGGAGGGGCAGAGAGAGAGAGAGAGGGAGAAGAATCTGAAGCAGGCTCCGGGCTCTAAGCTGTCATCACAGAGCCCAATGCAGGGCTCGAACTCAGGAACCATGAGATCATGACCTGAGCTGAAGTGGGATTCTCAACCAACTGAGCCACCCAGGCGTTTCAAAGCATTGAATATTTTACTTTTCACTTGCTATGTGCAAGTGAATGGTAGAGTGAGACGGTGCAAAGAAATGCATTGCTCAGGACATTACCTTAGAGAATATGCAGCCCAGAACCAAAAAAACAAAAAACAAAAAACAAAAACAAAAACAAAAACAAAACAGTATTACATTACATCAAAACATCATAATGTTATCTCATTTCTAAACACCAGGGGACTTAAAATGAAATCTTGAATTGAGACCATTAGATAGATAATGTCCATGTAGTAGTTTGCAAGTGAAGTGTAATATTCTGGGAAAATGACAATTAGGGAAGCTTAAAAGTATCATTATGAATAACAAAAACGTCAACTCCTATTCGACCAACATATTTTAGTGCTCAAAATGGTCTTAGGTGTTGATACTTGAAATAAAATAATGTAGAAGGTTTTTCATCTCTCCGTTTTTGATATTAAACTATGTATTGAATTGAGGTTCTATATAGCTAACTTATTTAAACAATATTCCTCAGTTACATTAATATTTTAAGAGACGTGCAGATCAGCAGAGATGTTAGAAAGGGTCAACTGAGCAATGAAACAAGTGAAATTTGAGTCTTCTCCCTGTCCTTTTCCCCTGATTGTCATGTCACACTAGTGCAAACTGATATGTTCAATATAGAAGGTTATAGTCAGAAATAAAGGAAATTAATACATGTTACAGATCAGCTCAACCTGTTGCAAAAATATGCAACCAAGTCTCCTAATATAGACAAGCATTCCAGGAGAGTCAGTGCTATATTCTCATCATTAGAGATTTGTTTTCGAAATTAAGTGTCGGTGTGTCTATTTAGGTCCTGGCTCTATGGGCCCATTTGCATGTGGCGAGCACATCACAATTGCTCAGTTTTGACCTTGGTTTCTGTCAGACCTCAGCCACAGGACCCGTATTTGGGAGCCTCTTCTATCTCATGGTCCCATGAATTGTAGGGGCTGAAGGCTCTTTGAAGTTTGATCTAGATATAACTTCACACTTAAGAAATACAGCTTAATAAATATCTGCTGAATACTTGTGATGTACAAAAGGCACTGTATCCAGTTGGTAAATGAATAAAATAATCCCAAGCAACCTGTAAGTTAGTGTGGGGAATGGCAAGCATACATCGCCCCAATACAAGATAGAGTGTGAGCAGACCTAGGAAAACAGACAAGCACACACACAGAAAAGTGATATTGCTGTGCACGTGTGGGACGGGTTTGAACGGGACTGTTGTGGGAATAGTGGTAATGAGCAGAACGGGCTGGAAATCAGGAAAATCTTCACGATGACATGACCTCTGAAAACATGTCTCAAATTCCCTGTGTGGTTTTGAAGGGTAGAGATGAAGGAAATTATTTCTAGAAAGAAAGAGCATTGGGAGTGAATGAAACCATTCAGGCTAATGGTCATGATGGGAGAAGAGGAGGTGGCTTTGTCAAAAATTAAGAAAAGTCACAGCATTTTCTATCTGAGATTTAAACTCTAGGGGAGCAGTCATTCATTGCTGGGAGGCACAGGTCCTAAAATTTCCCAGGCTCTCACCTGTATCCGTTCCACTTCCAGAAAGGTTGCTGTTTGGAAGGCTCGTTCCCACTGGGCGAGGTCAGAGTCCAACTCCACGGAGAAGTAGAGGTCTTCTCCAGACTCAGACTGCACAGTGAAGCAGTGTTTCCGCTGGTCCAGCAGGTCACTGTCCTGATGGAAACCTGGAGTTACACAGGCTGGCATACATCAATCCATATTGCTGACATGGCCATACCTCGAATCAATGTTGACTAATGCATGGTGGAGACGCCAAGGTCATACGGATGACACTACATCTTCCTTAAAAATGGTCATAGCAGGGGCGCCTGGGTGGCTCAGTCGGTTAAGCGTCCGACCTCGGCTCAGGTCATGATCGCGCAGTCTGAGAGTTCGAGCCCCACATCGGGCTCTGTGCTGACGGCTCAGAGCCTGGAGCTTGCTTCAGATTCTGTGTCTCCCTCTCTCTGCCCCTCCCCTACTCATGCTCTGTCTCTCTCTCCCTCGCTGTCAAAAATAAATAAACTTTAAAAATGGTCATAGCAGCCTAAACTCCACACCTCAAAGTCCACAACTAATGTATTTCTCCTCGTTATCAACACTGAAGCATCGCATGAAACAGAAGTGAGGATGGCTGGCTTCTATGCTTACCAGCAACATAACTCGCAAAGCATTTAACACGAGTTCAGTTTAGACGATACGAAGTGATGACACAAAACCCTCTTTTCTTTTTCCCTAACAGAGCTGTCGAGACGATGAAGTTAATGCTTATCGGTAGGTTTGCAAATTTTAGAAAGGTTAGCAAGCAGGACGTTTTCTGTTGAGTTTATTTCTTTAGCCCTTAAAGCCACATGACCATATCTACACGAGAAATGGAAACAATGAGTCTAGGTTGTCTAAAAAAAAAAATGGATCGCTTCTAAAAAATACATATTTACCTTACTTCTGTAACTATATTTTATTAAGTCAAGAAGACTGTGACGTGGCAATTTCTTGGTCTTGTTAGGCGTTTTCAACTGTGTTCACCTATCTATGTGTATGCCAGTTTCAGAGATATTAAAAGAAAATGTGGCTAAGAATTGACGAAATAGGGTAATCCCAAGCAATATGTCAGATATGGCCTCTGAATTACATGTGGAGCGGGCTGAAAATGGCCAAAGCGTAGTCACTGGGGTCTTTCACCATTTCTTATACATAACTACATAAAGGTATCATTAAACACTCACAAATGTTAGAAGGAATTCTCTGCTCTGGCAAGTGTTTTCAAACTAATAACTCTCTTATCAATAAACTCAGTTTTCTTTGTTTTCCTATTTGGATGCTTAAAATATGAGAGGAGAGTGAATGAACAGCACTTGCTTCTGGTTGTAGAATTCAGCTTTGATAACTGCTGCCAGGAGATGCTCAGGAGCTCAAAGAAAGTTACATTCTCTTTGTATTTACTGATTTTCTTATACTATCTTAAGGTGAAAAAAAATGAAAACATATCTTCAAAAGCATAGTCCAGTGATAAGCTATTGTAAGGTACTTTTTTTTTCATCATTCGGCGTTTACAATGTCTACTGGAGTGACAAAGACAGATAGTAAGTAAATTACTCTACAAGTAAATAGGTCGGGACGGATCCTTGTAAGTGCTGTTATGGAGAGTAGGAATGCAGTTCACACCAAAGTGGATTGGTGAGTCAGGAAAATATCCTCTAGGATGTACATTTTAAGCAGTGGCCGAAAGACACGTGGAAGATTGAAGGTTGATGGGCGGGAAGAGGCCTTTAACCAAGGTATTGGCAAGGTATTGGTGTTGGCACAGGCATTGAAGCAACAGCTCCAACGGCATTCCAGAAATCCAGACAGCAGGTGAAAGAGAGGTCGAGAGCCATTGCTGAGACAGGTCATGAATTCTGGACTTTAACGGAAGTGTAATGACAAGCTACCATGTTTCAAAAAAAATAGCAAATCCTTTATTTATCTCGTAAATATTTCAACTTCTATATTACTTATTTAATTGGCAACATTGGCACAAAAACTGTAACCAAATACCGCAGGATTTCTGGAAACCTTGCTAATTTTATGGCTTATTCAAGAGGTCTTAACTTTCTTTGTTATGTAAAGTTGTAACCTAAATCAATCAGTGTCATTAAGAGCCAGAAAACTGTTGACATTTTTCCTTCTCCTACGTTGCCATGAAATCTTAAAATAACCTTCATTTAAGATTTTTCTGTTTTCTTGGCAGCTTAACTACTTTACTCTTTGAAAACTTGGTTTGGCATCTCCTGTTAAATTGACCCAGCACTAGAGCTCTCAAAGACAGAGAGTTCTCTGTTCGACTCTGCAAATAGAAGTTCAACATCTGGGAACACTTGTGGTGATTGGTTATTGCTATTTATAAGGCACTCCTCACATGGTGACTTACACTACAGCCCCTGTGGGCACCCAGGCACTCAGGTCACAGTTTCCTGAGGGAGACAAATATATAAAAAGAATAAAAAGCATCATGACAGTGCTATGTAGCTAACGTGCTTAAGGAACTGGAATGGGAGCAATAAATCATTCTCGAAAGTGGGAAGGAGAAAGTTTTGTTCCGGGAAGAATGTCTCATCATCAAGGACTTAGAGATCCATGCAAGGGCGATCCGTTGCAAGCCTGAATGGTCTCGGGTCCTCCTGCTAAGACATTCGTTCAAATGACCGCCTGCGCTGTGAGAACCCCCCTGGAAGGTCTGAGGTAAGCAAGAGGCGGAATCCGCTGCTTTCGATAGAGAAGAGCTAGAGAGGCAGAAGATGGAAAAAGGAACATGCGCGTATAAATCTTAGCATTGTTTCTGACATAGGGTAGTTCTGAATTAACATTAGAAATTTCTATTACTAGTGCTGATACTCAATAAAGTAAATATATACGCTGTTCCTTAATTTCTACTTCTTTAATTTGCTCTCTGTATGCTCTCTGTTTATCTTTGGTCAGGGTGAGTTTGGCCCCAGTAGAAACAATTAGCCTCCATGATACTTCTTGCTCATTGGAAAGTGTCATTTAACGAATGGTAATAAAATAAGAGCTACACAAATCACGGACGCTATTTTTGTGCATTGGTCTCATTTACGACTTCTCCGGAAGTATCCCCTCATTTTTTAGATTTATTCCAAGTCTTCTGGACACTTTCTGCTCACTAATCACCAAACGCTGTCCTTCTTACGGTTTGTCTCAGGTTCACAAAACAATATTACACAGAAACAACACATTACAGATATGTTTGCTATTAACGTAGATGCTTTTCTAAGACGTTCAGAGGTCAGTGGTATAACCAAAGTGGTTTTTTTACTAAAAAGAAAAACACACTATGTTGTTTAGAATAATAATTATTAAGATCGTAGACATAGCTAGCCATAAACTTTCTATTGCATTTTTTAAAAAATTTTTAATGTGTATTTATTTTTGAGAAAGAGAGTGAGTCACAGTGTAAGCAGGGAAGGGCAGAGAGAGAGGGAGACACAGAATCTGAAGGAGGCTCCAGGCCCTGAGCTGTCAGCTCAGAGCCTGACGCCGGGCTCGAACTCACAAACTGAGAGATGGTGACCTGAGCCGAAGTTGGACGCTTAACTGACTAGGCCACCTAGGCCTCCTAACTTTCTATCGTATTTAAAACATGTAAGATTAAAGGCAGAAGAAAGGTGCCAAAAATCAGTGCGTTATCCCTATGGCAAAATTTCTACATCTATCAATATGGTTTCTTCTCTCCTTCACGCTATAATCACTTCATCCAATACTTGCTAATATGGCAAGTTACTTGTTTCACACTTTTCCAGTTAGACTTATCATTGCTCTAATAATAGATTTTTTTTCTTCAAGTTAATGACATTTGTGGAATTGAAAATAGAAATGAGAAAAGAATAGGCAGACGGAGGATGGATATTTTTGCATTATTATATTAAATATAAATTAATTTATAAACTATGTGACTTAATATGTTTTTGACTGCTATGTTTGCTACTGCTTCCTTTACTTGGACTTATAGTGAATCAGAAAATCATTCAATCATCAGGCATGAGTATTTAAAACAAACAAAAATGTAATTTTTTTTTCAACGTTTATTTATTTTTGGGACAGAGAGAGACAGAGCATGAACGGGGGAGGGGCAGAGACAGAGGGAGACACAGAATCGGAAACAGGCTCCAGGCTCCGAGCCATCAGCCCAGAGCCCGACGCGGGGCTCGAACTCACGGACCGCGAGATCGTGACCTGGCTGAAGTCGGACGCTTAACCGACTGCGCCACCCAGGCGCCCCAAAAATGTAATTTTTAATGAAACAAGAAGAGCAGGCCCAGAAAGGGTTCTTCAGCTACAAATAATAATTTCTAATTTTTTGTGACTATTCTAATATCTAAAAGTGAGAACGAAAAACATACCTTCGGAATTAAATTTTGCCAATTGATTTTGAATTAGACTTTCAAGAATGATTGATTCCCTAAAGGCACTTGTTAAATCTACATAATAAAATTTACATAACAACTATCTAAATCTGATAGTTTTAATAACATTACAATACTATTTTCATTTTTTTAAGCTTATTTATTAGAGAGAGAGAGAGAGCAAGTGCTCGGACTGGGGAGGGGCAGAGGGAGAGAGGATTCTAGGCAGGCTCCATGCTGTCAGCATAGAGCCCGATGCAGGACTTGATCTCACTAACCTGTGAAACCTGAGCTGGACAGTTAAGAGTTGGACACTTAACCAACTGAGCCACCCAGACGCCCCAACACCATTTTCATTTTTATGACAGTATTATTCTTAACATTGCTGTGCAGTGAAAATTTTTATATATATCAAAATATTGTTAGGAATATTTTCCTTTATTGGATTTTGTAAAAGAGGAAGTTGGAAACTTCACTCTCAATATTGTAATTCTGATTCTGTATATTCCAGAACAAAAATGACATTTGTGTATTATTTAGTCAATATGACCAATATGGAAAAATAACTTTGTTTTAAGTTATAGTAACAATAATTACATAACTTTCATTTTCTTTATGTAGGAATACATCAGAAGTAAGTGAAGGTCATATACATGAATTTAAATATTTCCATTTTTTATGGCTATGTCAGATACCAAATATAAAAACTTACTTTTCTATTAAAATATCACCTAATGTCTGTCAGAGTAATTATTTTGAACACCACCTATCCTT